AGAGTGTGCAACCAAATTCTGCTGTTACCTGGAACTTCATAGGGTTAAAACTGTTAAGTAACTCTGATCAAAAATGTTTTTTCAGCCTACCAGCCTAAGTTATTGGTCTCTATTTCATCACAGCACCAGCTAAAATGAATAGTGATGGGCACCTCACACACATGCCCTGGCTAAACCTGCGAGTGTCCCAGTGAGCTTCCCCATATAAGACAGTTCCTGAGATACTGCCACCACTAGCTTTTAAAACCAAAGATTTTAATTTTTTTGGTTTGTTCTAGTCATAAAGCTGAGATGCCAGTGCAAGTACTAGGACTGCTTTGGGCTGCTTAGTCCTGTTTCTCTCTTGACCAGAACTGGGGGGCCTTAGCAAAGTCATCCTCCATGGATGGATGAATTGGAAATAACTGACTTCCCATATCAGGTGTTCTGAGCTCAGTGTCCAGCTCACAAGTGTTCCTGCACTTAGAGCAGACTTAGTGGGTATAATATGAAATGTCTCTAGAAGCTTGAGAAGCCATGCACATTCATTTGTTGTGTGTAGCTAGTGCTCACAGACATTCCAAAGGTACGAGGGAGGATAGGAATCCCAAACTTGCTGATGTTCAGTTGAATGTAGGTGATACCATATGACCTTTGAAAATCCTAATGCTTGTAAGGATCATAGGATAATTCAGGTTTCCTGGGGCCTCAGAAGGTGCAACCTTCTGCTTAAAGCAGTTATCTGAGGTTAAACCTGGTTACTGAGGGCTTTATCAGGGATACCTTTCAGCTAAGCCGGGCCCATGCTTGCGTTTTCAGGAACCAGACAACCATATTTTAAAGCTGTGTGAGTAATCAATATGTTGGTTTGGGTTTTTTCCCCACTTTGCTGAATTGTAAAAAGACATCTTTTCCATCTAAACTGCATTTGAGTATTACTTTTTCTCGATGCAATGTTTGAATTCATCATTAACAAGAACTTTCATTTAGCCCAGATTAAAACATTCAGCACAAGGGAAAGAAAAGTTTAGGTCTTCTGAAAAGTGTCAGAGGAGCTGGTGGTGGGAACAGCTTGGTGGTTTGAGTGCTCCCTGAGGGTGTAGAAGACCAGTGTGCAATTTCCTTCTGTGCCTGGGAGAACAGGATTGTGACTCATTGGAGATCACCCCAAATGTCAAATGGTCTTTCTTTGAATATTTAAATAATAATGCAAAATAAAGTACTTCTAACACTGGCACCCCTCATTGAACTGCCCAGTGGCCCTGTGGATCACACACTTGTGTGTTAGGTGAGACACGTGGTTCCCAGGCTTCACTGAGTGTCTGGATGTTCACAGCAAAATACTGTCAAGAACATTCTGTAAATTTGGGATTAGGTAATTCCTGTGGGAAGTGATGGCTTGTATCCACTTGGGTAGGAGAAACAATTAAACCAAGTCTCCCCAAAAATGTGTTTAAATGCTTAAACCACTGATAAAGTTACTGGTTAGAGAAGCAACTCTTCGCCCAGCTTTTTTTCAAAAATCTAATTCTGTTCTTACAGCTGAAATTTTTTGGTGAATTTGCAGATGTTTTTCAGTCTATGAAAGACATATTTTTTCATTTTAAGCACTTTTAGCTTAAAATAATCTTTTACATCCGGGCAGTGAGAACAGGAGCCAATCAAACCTCCCATTGTGGGTAGCAGGAAGTCGCAATTGCCTCGGCTGAACCGACGGCATCGCAAGTAGGATGCTGTCTTGCGAATAAAGAGATCTTTTGCTATAATCCATTAGTCACACATCAGTCTGCTCCTCTTAGCAAGCCTGCAGAGCCTCTGAATCCCTTATGTACAGGAATGTAATGGGCAAACAGGAAAACAAAACTGAATTTACTTAATGTGTAACAGAAGCACATGAGCTGAAGCATGTGGATATGAACACTTAGAAATAAAACTACTCTTATTTTGCTTCTTCTAAGGGAGATTAAGTTATGTTGCACTTTATTCAAAATGAGAGAAGCTATACAGGCATTTAATCTTGCTGCTACAGTGAAAACACACTTTGACCTTTATGTAGTTTTTGATGGACATCCCTTGGTGTCTCTTGGCACAGGCATGTAGCAGGTGACATCCCAGTAGCGGGCTCAGGAGGGATGTGACACAGCTGCCGGTGTAGTTTGTTGTAGTATTTGCGTTTGGTTCAGATCTTCTAATACATAGCCTACTCGTTACCCTCATTCCATTTACTGAAGAGGATGTCCCATTTACCCATTTCTGCTTGAGTTTTATAACAATTGATGTTTATATACAACCAGGTTGGCATCTATTTGTCTAGTCCAAAGGCAAGGGTGTGTCATCAGCCAGATGTAAATTGTTGACCATTTTGCTTAATCTAAAGTCTCCTGTGCTGTTTGATCAAACTGTATCCTGTATAAAAAGCTAATGGGGCATGGCTTTTTGGCATGTTTACAGCAACTGCTCACCAAGTCTTCAGGAAATTGTCTTGAGCTGCTGAGCCCAAGGGAAAAGGGAGACAGATAAACCATATGCAAAGCAGATCTGGTATTTGATGTGCTGGGCTTACTGCGCACATTGGACCTTCTTACATCATTGAATTTGCTGCTCTTAATGGAACGTACAGTTTAACCTTAGATGCTTTCTTGTCAGCACTATGTGGGGTGCTCAGAATCCCGAAGGCTGCTGTGCTTCTTGCAGTGACCTGAGATCATGGACCTTTCTTGCTCTCTTATCTGATGTTTTTTCTCTGGAGATTGGATAACCTGGAAAGTTATAGCAAAAAGAGATGCCTGAGACATTAGGTAGTCTTTTTAATCGTGACATAGAAGGGAGGGGAGGAGGGAAACAACTTTGGGAAGGGCTGGCCATAAACGTATGTGACTCATGTTCAGACTCCAGCCTTACAGTAAATGACTCCCAGCTCTTTCTCCTGGGTCCAGACCAGCCTGCAAAACACCCTAATTCCATAAAAGAGAAACTGGAACTAATCCACTGAAATGTGACGCAGCTAGTGTGCAACAAATCACACCAGGCATGTAGTCCTTAAATTCACTTAGATAGGATTAGGATGTACTTGGCTGCATGTCTCACTTATCACACCTGCTGGTTTAGAAATGGTGAAAGTTGGCAGGAGTCAGCAATTACATGTGTGGGGGGCAAAAGGTGTTTAAACATTGTGGAGCTGCTCATAAGTGAAGAACATGGCATTGGAATTAAGGCTGCTGTACGGTCTTAATTTAGCCCCTTTGTTTGACTGCGCTTCAAAACAACCTCTAGTTATATAACAACATCCCATTCCTTCCAGGGGATGCTCTGCCCCCCTGCCGGGGACAGGCTGATGGGGCCATCGCTTTGGATTAAACCCAGGGGCTCACAAATCATTCAAGCCTAAAATTATTGGAGGGAAGGTCCTTCAGACAGTCAGATTTTGAATTTGTGGGAGTAGGAATGAGATGAAAAGACAACCTATTTACATACAGTGAAATAGTTTGCTGCCAGACCTTTTTCTGGGAGTAGTTTGCCAGTGCATGTGAGTAATTAACTGTTTGCAGAGTTGTCCTCCGCAAGAGATTTTTGTCAGCAGAAAACCTGGCACAAAGTGTGTAGTTATCCCAAGGTCATAGTCGCAAACCTCTCTACATTGTTGGTCAGTGGCTTACTGCAGCTGGCATGGGACAGAGGTTAGTGAAGGAATGGGACTCCATCTAGTCCACCGCAGATGTTTGTGCTCTTGATAATCTTGCATACAGAGCCCAGCCCTTGGACCTGTCCCTCCTGGGAGCTGCTCGCTTGCCCTGGGGCTACACCACCTACAAGCATGGTAGCAAGGTATCAGTGGCAGGAGCACCTCTATGCTCGCACTGCACCAACAGTTGGGTGCCACTGGGAGGGGATAGCGTTATTTGTGGTGAAAAGATAAGCTTTGCCAGGTTATGTCAATCATGTATATGGACATACATAAATCTCAAATGAGAGGAGGTGATCTTGAAATGTAGCCGAGGCCATAGGTCTCTGGCTAAGTCACTGTTGAAGTACTCGTCATGTGCTAGTTGTTCCCCTGTCTTAAAAAAAAAAAGCATCCTGTGAAAGTTAAATCTGACTTTCTTGTGGCATAAAACACTTGAAATGGCACAAGCCAGCAAATTTACAGGATATTTTTAAAAGAAAATGTGGGGAACAAAGACAAGTATTGCAGCAGCGATGTTGAAGCCATGATGGTCTAAGGATAGAAACAAGGCTGTGCTTGCAGGGCAGTACCTTTTATTAAGCCAATTCATATGATTAGAAGAAAAAGGCAAAACTTCAAACATTTGTTTCTTTTTTCTATAGGTCTGAAATTGAAGTATTTTATTCATGTTAAATACACTTTCTCTGAGTTTATTCATTCTAGGCAAACATTTTGACAATTTAAGCGTAATGGGTATTTTAGTACTTGTGGTACAAAAGAGGACTGTAAGCAAGGAGGCAATGTTAAGTTCACTAGTCCTGTGGGGCAAAAGTAGAAAAAAGATTGTTTTAATTATAACACTATTGTTATGATTCAGAGACCATCTGACAGCCATGTAGGATCATTTACCAGCAAACCCTATGCCAACAACGCTTACAAAAACTGAACTAAACGGAAGTTTTGCATTTACGTCAGATCCCAGGCAGGACAGTGGGTAGGGGAGAGGAAATTCACTGGTAAATGGAAAAGGAACTAAACAAAATTGGCAGGGAAAGAAATGTTATTTTCCAGGCTACAATAGGATATGACAAACAATGGATGTAACTTACAGTTATTTATAAAAAAGTCCTTTTGGAGCAGTGACCTTCTTGTCTAACTTTTGTAAAAGATGGAGGTTCACCCCTTCAGGGGAGGAAGGCAAGCAGAGAATATCTTAGATTTAACATGTTGTTCCTCCCTGCCTAGGCTATGGGAACCTGAGCCCCAGCACTGCGGCTGGTCGAATCTTCTGCATCTTGTTTGCGCTCTTTGGGATCCCCTTGAACCTTGTCCTTCTGAACGAAATTGGGCAGCTGATGCTGTTGGGGGTTCAGCATTGTGCCCATTGCCTGGAGGAGGTGTTTCACTGGCAGGTAAGCAATGTGTACAGGAATGCTTCACCCTCAGGTTCAGGAAAGAAAAGACAGAGAAGGCATTGTTTGGTATTTGGGATCCCCTGACTCACAAGGACAGCCTGCCTACCTATTTGGCCAAAAAGGCAATAATACTCAGGAATACTGGAAGCAAATAAATTTAGTCTATGACAGCCCTATGAGGTGTCGGATAAGGTTGTTTATTAATTGAGAGAACTTCTGTGATGAATGGCTTCCCTTACAGCAACAGAAGTGCCAGAGTCTTAGAGCCATGCTCAGTCCTAGAATATCTGGTCTGTTTATCATCAGTCATAGTTAGAATTGCATGTGTAAATTATATGGGAACATTTGTGGAATAGGCTTTAAACTGGCATGAATTTAGGACTCCTGAAGATGATGCCCGGTTTATGTTGACTGGGAGAACCACACTGTTTATTCTAGTGGAACGTCATGAATGTTCATTTTTATGGAGTCCGGCATCATCTTCAACCAGAAACTAGGCTGCACTTTCCTTGTCACCGTTCTTGTGACAGTCTCTTTTTTTTTTCTCCTGTTTTACTAGAAAAAAGCTTCTCTCCTGATTAAGACCTGTGCACTGGTAGCTGGCTTGTTGTTGTTCCTTCTGCTGCCTCCCTTGTTGTTCTCTGACAAAGAAGGCTGGTCTTATGAAGAAGGCTTCTACTATTCCTTCATTACCCTCAGCACTATAGGGTTTGGAGATTATGTGATTGGTGAGTAGTTCACTTTTCATTGCTTTCACCTACTAAACATCAAAGCTAAATGAGTGGGACCTAAAACTCCCAACTTGGCAGTTTACACCGTTAGCAATCCACAGACCTGTGGATTTGACATGTTGGAGAACACATGATTTCTGACATAACAATGTCACCTATGGAGGAGCAAAGAAATCGTTTCCTGGTCAATGAGTACTCTTCCAGCATTCAGGTGATCTGTCCCTTGAATGACTACACCACCAGACTGGGATGCTATGTTTTTAATCACAGCAGTTGCTGATGGTGCACTTGGTGTGCTCCAGTGCATCAGCAGCGATTAGTTTTAAGCAGATGCTACACTACATCACCATTAACAGACAGTGACCATTTCCTCTGTCAAAACTCCAGACAACAGCTTTCTAAAAAGCAGCTTAAGTCACTTAGGTGTAGACTGTCAGGCACCAGGCACAGCCTAGTTTTGGTTGCCAAAACCCTTTGCCAGAGGAAATGGATTTGGACCCATGCCTGATGCATTTGCTGAAACACAGGACACACCTTTTTGATAAAGACTTTCTCATTAAAACCAAATTGATTATAGAAACACATGCACCCTTGAATCCCTTGGAGACAGAAAGACTAAAACACATTATTACAGATTCTTTATATTTTCTTCATAGTGCTTGCTTGATGCTCAGACAACTTAATGGCGGTTACCTTAGGACTTGTCTATAATGCATCAAAGTTATGACTAGAGCTTGTGTAGGCACACTTAAATGAGCTAGGATCAAGTTAGCTTGTGTAAGGGTAGCCAGATGGAGCTTAACAAAAGCTAGCCAGTTCAGCATTTTCCTATGCTGATTTTATAGATGATGCTGAACTCTGTGCTGCAGCAGCTTTACTTCTCTATTTCAGTTTTTGGTAACTAATTCTGAAGTTCTTCTCTCATACACCTCCCACTTCCAGGTGTACCTTCACCTGTGTGGTGGCACCTTTGTAACTGGCATGCTGCTGTAGGTACACTGGGTTCAGTATGGGAATAACTGAGTATTTCAGCGACCTGTGGTATGTAGAGGCCAAACCATTTTCGCATTACAATCCTGTGCTTGTGGTTTGTCTCAAAAATAAGCAGGGCCAGGGCATGGTTTCATGTGTCTGTCACTATTTTGTGACTGTCATGTTGTTTCCCACTAGTGTGATCTCTGGCACTGTTCCAAACCAGGTAAATTCTAGGGGATATCACATGCCAGGAGTGATGCCTGATGTTCACTTTGGACACAGATGCTCTGTTTTGGGTGAAATATAAGCCAGGCTATGGCATTTGGATTTGAAGTCATAGAGTAGTCCCTAGCCTGTTTTACTTAGTAATATTGATGTAGATTCTCTTACTGGCCCTAAAATCCATTAATTTATGCACTCGGTAAGCCCTTCTATTGGACATAGGATGCCATGTGGGCTCTACACTGTTTCTGATCTTCTCATCCCCAACATTACACCTATCAGATGGTCTTTGTGGATAAAACATTCTCCTTGGAAGCCTCAAATAACCCTTCCCTGTTTTCACTTATTATTTAGAAGCAAACAATTTTTAAATCTTTGAATTTAGCATCGGTGAAAGGTGCTTGTTTGAAGGATGAATATAATACTCTTCTTAGTTGAAGTTCATCTTGATGTAGAAAGCCAGCCCAAAGAGTAATTACCACAGAAGTGGTTGGTAGCTGCCAAATGTTTATCAGTGGCTTAGTGACAACCTCAGAATGTCTTGTGGTCCCGTTATATTGAAAACACACCTAATGTGTATTATGTAATATATAATATTACCAAGTAAATGGATGTAAAGAAATGGCTGTTTAATATGGCTCCACTGACCAGTTACTACTTATCACAATCTTGTAGACAGTAACAGTTCATGGACTACAATTTTGGAGCTGCTAGTCTGTGCAGGTAATCACAGGACAGTATACCTACATACAACCACTCACAGATGAAAAGTACCTAAACACCTGCCTTTGTGGATGCACCCAGCCCTATGTGTACTTTTCATTGGAACGTGGTATGGAGAGTGGCCTCCAGGTTCATGGAGGTACCACCTCATACATGTTAACTCCTCACACTCTGTCCCAAAAGTTTCAGGTGTTCTGTGATATCTGCTGCACTGTAGGTATTCAGTTATAAAGTAACAAACCTTCCTAAGGTAAGGAAACTAAATAATGAGACCTAAGAAGCAGCAGAAGGAAAGCCTGTGCAAAGACTTTGCTGCCACTGATTTGCATCCTGTACTTTACCTGTGTTTGTAAGGCTACCCCAGCCTGCTTTACAGATGCAGCCCAGTGGCTTCGTAGGGCTGAGTTCATTGCTTTGCTTTGCTGGTATTATTATCAATATTACTACTGACACTAATTTAGCCGTGGAAGCCTCTTTGCACTAAACATTGTGGAAAGACAACTGAAAATATGGCTTTGCTTCAAAGGGATCACAAAATACCTAGCTGAGCAACCAGACAGAGGATGTATAACTTCAAGCTGTCTTCCAAGGCTTGATTGTTCTTAGAAGTTTTAGGACTGCTCAGGTCCCTTCCTTCCTGCTCTTAAAGACTTACTCACTCCCTTATATCTGGCTTAACAAGATACATACATTGGTACATAAAACCTGCTTACCTCTCTGCCTGCAGGGGACCCCTGTTACACACTAGTACAATGTTGTGATACTGAGCAATAAGTAGAGAAATGAAACTTTGCACTTAAATGTGAATAATTTCACTTTGACATAGATGTAATTTGGGATTTATTTTCCTTTCTTATGGGTAATCTTTACAATTCCTAGCGAGTTGTAGACTGTTGCGAACCTCTCATGAAACATACTTGCTTATTCTGTTCACATGCTAAGTAGATGGCATACTTCTATTTTATATAGAAATCCCATTAGGTCATATGTCCACCATCTTTGCTTTACAACTAGTGTCTTCTTTGAGGCACTCTTGATCCAATCTAGAAATGTTTTGGGTGATTTTCTTGTAGGGATGAACCCAGACCGCACCTATCCAGGCTGGTACAAGAATGTAATCTCTCTGTGGATCCTCTTTGGGATGGCCTGGCTAGCACTGGTTATCAAATTTTGCATCAACTTTCTAGAGAGCTCCAGTGACTTCTGTCAGTGCAACAAGAAGAGCACAGACACCGCAGAAGACTTAATGGATGACATCAAAAATAGTATGGCGGGACTTCATGATGTGGAGATCTGCAATGACAAAGACACAAAACCAAAAGGACCAGATGAGTCTCACACCCACACAGCTCCTACAGAAGCACACTAGGGAAGAAATATACCCTCAGTGTCTCTTAGGTTTTAGTGCACCAGAGATGCACCGCTTAGAAATGTGGGAATGGACCTGCCCTGACGTTCACATGGGGTGAAAGCTTGCTTATTGAGCTTGAAATGCTTCTGTTCTGAATTGAGCAATGACAACAAAATGTTTCATTTGCAGCACCACCAAGAATTACCAATGGGATTCTTAGCAAAAGTAGATTTACAGAGATATTACCTACCCTCCCACCTCAACGTATGAGGTAAACTTTGACATCTGTACACAGCACCAGCTGTTGTCCTTTTCTTTGCATGCAAAGTTCTTGTGGTCTCTAATTGTATGTATGGCATTTTGCAAATACCACAACTAGAAAAGCAAGTGCCATTTAATGCAGGAAAGAAATTGCATGTTGTTAAAAGACTTAATGAAAAGCACTATTTCAAGCCACCTGGCAGTCACTGCAAATGTGCTCCATCACCTAGATGCTTGTGCTTGCCAAAGGTGGTAACATGCTTTTGCTCTCTGATCATTAGTACATGGATGGCAATGAGGCAGAGCTTGTAGAGGTGCCTAGTAGAAACAGATAATTCAATTTTTTAAAAGAAATTTCTACATCAGAGGTCCACTAATAGGCTATTCCTTACTCCAGAATTTCTCTAGGATCATCCTTTGTAAAGTGTTACGTAGACCAAATGTCAGCAGCTAAATGTGACATTCATTTAGGTTTTTTTGTCATATCCTGGAAGCCAGAAAAGGAGAACTAGAGGCAGTTTTAAGTGCCAGTGGTTCCAACGTTATCCTGTGGCCAATGTTAATAAGGGCTGCTTTAATCTAGAAACAGACTGCAGTATCTTCAACTGTGATCAAGAGATGCTATTCTGATCAACTTCTCATGTCATAAATGAATAGTGTATCTGTTTTGGCTAACATCTTTTATATAAAACACAACTATCTTTTGATCTGTGGAATGCCAGACCTGCTTATTTTGGCCTTTGTGTCAGTCATGAAACAGAACTGGTTTTTTAGAATTCCATTAAATTCTCAGCAACCTTTTGATAAATTTTACACCATTTATTAAAGGCCCAACAGAGTCCAACTCCTGCTGCGATTATATACCCATATCTAATCTTCTCATTTTCTTATTCCTACTGTGCTACTTGCATCCCAGAGCACTAACTTTGAAAACTTGGCCATAGCAGTACACCAGAACAAAGCATTTGGGTGAGCCTTCAGCTTCTGCATTGGACCAAGATTCCACATGGACAGTGGAGAAAAGACTGAAAACAGAGTCTGTTGGAGTACAGGACTCAAATACATGATTTCACAGAAATGCAGTGAGTGAAAAGTTTACAGTCTTCAGGAACACAAGTTCTGGAACATGTATTGTGAAAAAAGTATTTCCAGAGTAGGCCAGTCTGAGTGTTGATATCTGGTGGAACTGATTACAGAAGAAAATGCAAGAAAGGAATATGCTGGATGAAATATAGTCTGTTAACCTTTTGTCAGCCTTTTTGTCATTGGCCTTTTGCCGACTCCATAGTAATAAAAGTTCTCTCAAATACTGTTTCAATGGGCAGCAGAGACAAGGAAGCGGAAATCTCAGGTCATACCTGAGAAACTGATGCAAAATAAATACATTTCAATTTTTTGTACACTGCGTAACTTCTTTAACAGCCTTTACCATAAACTTTTCTATTTCTTCTGTGTTTTATCGTGTTTATTTTCACTGATGGATATACAATGTAAGTTTTACTAAGGTTCGTAATGGGCTGGCCTACAAGAAGACCAAAGTGTATTTCTTTAAACATAAGTGAATCATAATTCCACAGCATAAAATGTGATACCCTTTTATGCATATCCTTTGCACCTTCTTTCAGGTGCAAAACTTAGTAAATATTAACTGTATAATAATTCTGGATGCCCAGAAGGTAGTAGGAATTTATACTCTCAAAACATGGGAATGAGTAGGCTAAGTCTATCTCAACTTTCACTTGAAATGTCATGCGTTCTGGGAATTTCTACTAGCTCTGCTCTTTGATGAGAAGGCTTAACTTGAGAAGAGTTTCTTTTTTTCAGTTTGAAAGTCTATTATATTAATCACATCTAATTTGTATTCCCATGTGTTTGTAGTTTGTGGATGAGGTTTTTCAAAAGTGCCTTAGAGGTCTGAGCACTCTGGTCCCGCTGAAGTGCAAGCAGAGTTATGTGCCTTAGGACAGCTAATATACACTTCTGAAAGCTAAAAGTAAGATGATCTCTAGGAGTAGTCCCAAAAAAAAGGAAAAAACAGTAATTCTTCATAGATCTCAGTGCTTCCACTGTATGTCAGGGTTCAGCCACAAACCTAAGCATGTGGTTGGGTCTCAAGGTGACTCAGTATCTTCCCCAGGAATCCTTGCTGATTCACTTCCTTCCACAGCTGTGCTGTTGTATTGCCCAGCTGCTCACTGCCAGCATAGTCCTGCTACTGATACAGGATATTTACAGGAGACACATCTGAACTGCTTGCAAACCACGTGTAACTCTGGAGCTGCAAGTTGCCTGCTTGTCCTGGATCACCTAAAAAAATATGAAATAAGTGAGTCAAATACCACCTCTGCCTGCATTCTCTGACACCAAATTAGCATGTTGTCACTTATGAATATCCTTTTAGTGACAGTTCCTCAGCTAGCTTTTGATAAGGACAATAGATACTATTGTCTTCAAGTCCCCACAGACTGCTGTGCATCTAGTCTTTCTGTTCTTTATAAAGCTGTGCTGTGGTTAAATGACATGGATGAATTTATTCCCAGAGGGATGAGAAGTAAGTAGAGTTTTGCAACATCACAAACATCATCACCCATGTGTCTACCAAAATACGAAAGGTTATCTGCTCAAGGGTAAAATAAAGAAAACAAAAGTGTGGTGCTGTTACCATTCTTGTCACAGCTGACTTGAAGTCTTCTGTAATCTGCATTGGAAAATTACAGATGCTTCTTTGTTGTGGGTTTTTTTGGTTGGTTGGGGTTTTTTTAATAATATCTCTTCCTGTGCAGTTTCCATTAGCGATTTCAGGTTAAACTTTCACTGCTATTATTCTTTGCAAGTCAATTCTTCCCTGTTATCCTGTTTTCTTGCTTGGGAGGAGCAGGGGCTGGAAACAGGTTTGGTTAGTAATGGTACTTGTAAATATTTATGTAACATCAGTGTCCAGAGCCTTTTTCCACAGTTGCATAGAGCGTAATGTGCTTCTGACCTTTATACAGTTTCCCAGGAAATCAATCGCTTAAAGCAAGAAAATAGGCCTCTCTAGCTCCTCTACTCCAAGGACAAGTCCTGGCTTCGATCTCAGTGTTTCTCATGCTGGCTCTTTCAGCTAGTCCAAAAGAGATGTTTACCCCTTGGGGAGAGATATGTCCAGAAATATGTAATAAGATGTTACAGCAACATAGTACAGACTGCTCAGAACTGCACAGTTTTTAATCATCTAGTTGACTACAGTATTTTAAGATTGCTAGACTAGAACAAAAAAAAGCCCTTTTTCCATAATGGTCTCCAAGTCAAAAAAATCCAGGATGTAATTTTTTCTCACAGTGGTGGGCTGATGAAGTCTCTTCTTACAACTGATATCCCAGGTCAGTTTAGAGCTGGGACTATTTAGCCTACAGAAGGCTCAGGGGGATCTCATCAATGTATATAAATACCTGCAGGGAAGGTGCAAAGAAGACGGAGCCAGGCTCTTTTCAGTGGTGCCCCGTGATGGGACAAGAGGCAACGGGAAACACAGGAGGTTCCTCCTAAACACCAGGAAATGCTTTTGCACTATGAGGATGACTGAGCACTGGCACAGGTTGCCTGGAGAGGTGGTGGAATCTCCATCCTTAGACATCTTCAACAGCTGTCTGGACACAGTCCTGGGCAACCACCTCTAGGTGACCCTGCTTGAGCAGATGACCTCCAGAGGTCCCCTCCAACCTCAGCTGTTCTGTGATTCTGCGTTTCAAGGTCAAGCTGTCCTTCATCTTGTAGTCTATGGTCTGCCAGAGAAGAAACTGGTCTTTCCAGTCTAAGTGAGCTCAATGGAGTGGTCTATTTATGTACATTTTTTATTAAAAAAATAGAGAATTTTCTTTTAGCTATGCAGATATCAACCAATGTTTAGGTTTCATTGCACTGGACAATTTGTAGATGCTAATTCTTTTTCAGAGATCTCACAATCAGAGAACAGCTTTATATGAAGGACGGTACAGAGAGATACAATTACTTGCAGGAGGGGATGTCTCCTCCAGATGTTTAGAGTGCGTTGTGCTGTTCCAAAAATGTGCAATAATGTTCAGCTTGGTGTAGCCTCCTGTCATTGTTATATATCTACCTGCAAGTTCCAGCAAAAGGATTCAATATTTCATCGCTGCACACTTCAGGTAAAGCAAATTACACCTCATTGTAGTTTACCCTTTCTAAATTAGAGGCTTACATCGGTACTAATTGCCTGCTTACCAGTTGAATCAGGGCAAAATTTTAATGTAATTAGGTCTTATAATATAGGCTTGGTACCTGCCATCTCCGTAAATAAACATTCTGGATAATGGAAGAGGGGGATGCAATAAAAGACCTGATATTTTTCAGTACTGTTATGCTATGGCTTAGGGAACCATGTGTTTGGTAGTGTCTCTCCTTCCAGTAGTCCTGGCTGTGTGTGAGGTAGCATCAGGGCAGATCATTTTTGAGCACCTTTTTGATTTTAGAAAGTTTCTTTTTTCTTTTACTTTTTTTTTCTCTCTCTCTCTATATATATATAAAAAATACTCGTAAGTATGTGGAAACTTACAGTTGAAATGGAGTTGAGTCTGTCATGCTGCACAGTTCCGGGTAAGGATTTAAAGGTTTCTCAGAAAGATGAGTGATTACAATGGAACATTATCTGGGCCCTTAAAAATTCTCATCTCACAGGACTGAAACTCAGACAGCTGGGGTTTTTTTATTTTGTTTTGGCTCTGTTTGTTTTTTTTCCAGAGATAAACTGATATATA